CATACATACAGTAAGAACTATGTAACTGTGAAGAAAAATGAAGAGTTTGCAAAACATAATGGATAAATCTGGAGGACATTATATTGAATGAAATAAATCGATCATGGAAAGACAAATTGTATATGCCCCCACTATTACAGAGAGTCAACAATAAGGTTATACACACAGAAAGAAACCTCCTTTGATGTTTGTCAGAGATGAGAGGAGCAGTCACTTTCTAGGTAGGAGACAATTCTTTCTTTTGGTAATGGGAAAGACAATCTCAAATATGGGTGAAGTCAGCACACCTGGAAACTTCCCCAAACTAACTTCCATGGAGTCAGTTCTGATTCATAGTGACCCTCAGCTAAGTAAAGATGCTGGGAAGTATACAAGAAAAAGTGACCATTTTAGTAACTGCTATAACATATACAATTTTGCAAAAGCATGCAAAAAATGTGGTTGCATAGATAGATATGGATGCATAGATGTTAGAGGAAGACATATCGATAGGTTCATCTATAGGTATATTTGTTGGCATATGTACAAGGGGACTTCAAAAAAAACTGTGGGAAAATCCCATTCCATTTTTCCACAAGCTTTTTAAAGTTCCCTCATATGCACACATTTGTTTGTACTGTGTTTGTGTGTGTGTATCTCCAAATGTAATAACAAGCCACATAGGGAGCACAGTCCAGACAACTTGCACAATAGGCTTTCTCGTTCAGAAGGCTTGGGACCGTAGTCTCAGGGAACGATGTAATCAATTATAGCATAGTTCATAAAGGTAAAGTTCTGTATCCTAGTTTGCTGTGTGTGTCCTAAGTGATTATGTGAGCAGCCATCTAAGATATCGCTGTTGGTTTCTACTCAAACGGAGCAAAAGAAAATGTAGGAAATCTAAAGTTCAGAGAAGAAACTAGTCCATAGGATTAATAGCACTACAGGAACCATGGTTTCTTCTAACTTAAAACCAGAAGAACTAAATGGTGCACTGCTACCATAGTCTATCACAGAGAGAAATATTGTACCAACCCTTCTGAGCAGGGCCACAACAAGAAGGCCTGAGTAGCACAGGAGAAAAATAGAAAACCAAAAGGCCAGCCCTACTAGACTGATTAGACTAGAAGAACTCCCAAGACTAATGCCCTAACAGATTGACTTATAAAATAAACAATATCACCTGTGAGAAATGTGCTCTTAAGCAATTAACGGTATGAGATCAAATGGTTAAGTGCTATCCAAGAGCAAAGCCGAGACTACAAGGAGGGGAAGGGAAGGCAGATCAATAGATGGAAACAGAAAAAAACGTAATGAAAATAGGATGCTGACACGATGTAAATTTATTTTTAATTAAAAGATCATTTTATTGGGAGCCCTTACAGCTCATAACAATTCATACATCAATTGTATCGAGCATACTTGTACAAAAGTTGCCATCGTTATTTTCTAAACATTTACTTTCTATTGAGCCCTTGGTATCAGCTCCTCTTTTTTTACCTCCCCCAACCTTGTAAAAATTGTAAATAATTTGTTTAAAAATTAATAGAGGTGGACCTAATTTGTTGTGTGAGCTTCTACCTGTAACAATAGACAATAAAAATTTTAAGATATTAAGTAGACTAGGCTGTTCTTCCTCTGGTTCAGAGAAAGAGAAGATCTCCCAACAGACCCATCCTCTTATGCACTCTAAATGACATTCCATCCCATCTGTCAACCTGGAATCCCCCAGATACTCCCCTTCTCTCCTAGGACAGTTACTTATCCTTTTACCTTCTGAGGAAATTCGTCTGTAAAGTGGGGCAGTAACGATGTCTGTTTTTGTAGACTTCTTTGGCAGTTGAATGAATCAGTGCACATTAAGTGATCACCAGCCTGCCAGCTGGGTGGGAGCGCCCCACGATGTTAGCAGCTTGTGTTCTATTTGAGCTGCCCTCTTCATTAGACTCCTTCTTCTCATCCTACAATAAAACATAGCACATATCTAAGTGTCTCCTGCCTTCAAACCCAGGTGGACACCGTCCCTTAATTTGATTCCCCTCGAGCTGCTACTCTACCTACTTCTTCCCAGCGTGGGTCAGTAACGTGGACTGGAAGAAGGTTGGCCCGAAAGAGAATGTTGTGGTTCTTGGGTACTCTCTCCAGTTCCCACTTGCAGCGACCCTATGTCCAACAGAAGGAGACACTGCCCAGTCTTGCCCCGTCATCACAGTTGTTATATTGGAGCCCATTGTAGTAGTCACTGTGTCAATTCCATCTCACTGATGGCCTTACTCGTTTTCAATGACTCTGGCAATGGCGATGTGCTTTTTAGGGACTGGTTTCTCCTGATAGCAAGTTCAAAGAGACTGCCTCACCATCCTTGCTTCTGACGGGCATTCTGGCTGCACTGCCCAGATAAATGTGTTTGTGCTTCTGGCAGTCCATAGCACTTGCAGTATTCTTTATCAAACCATAATTCAAAGGCAGCATTCTACACTCTTCCTTATTTGGTGTCCAGTGTTCACATGGCTATAAGGCGACTGAAAATAGCATGGCTTAGATCAAGTGTACCTTAGTCCTAAAAGTGACATCCTTGTTCTTCCAACACTTTACAGAGGTCTTGTGCAGCAGATTTGCCCAGTACAATGTGTCATTTCTTGACTGCTGCTTCCGTGAGTGTTGATTATGGATGTAAGCAAAATGAAATCCTTGACAACTTCAATCTTTCCAGTTTATCATGATGTGATCTATTGTAAATCTTAGTGAAGATTTTTGTGTTCTTTACATTAAGCGCAATCTATACTGAAGGCTGCAGTACAGCCAAAAGTAATCAAGGACAGATGTACTTATGGGCAAGGGGGTGGTTTGACTAAGAAAGGGTAAGAGATCTTACTGGAGGCTGGAAAACAGTTTTTTCTATTTTGGTCTAGGTGGTAGTTTCATAGATTATGTATAGGCAGAAATTCATTAAGCTGTCACCTTGAAATTGGAACACTTTAAATTATGTGTATTCTCTATCTGTCTAAACAAAAAGAAAGGCTCATGCACCGTCCTTCACCAATTGTTCCTTCTGTAGATTTCCCTACCTCTCACCACCCCTGAAACTCATTCCTTCCTGGATGTTTCCGTACGTTTGAATTTTGTTGGTGATTACATCTTTTCCGATACTGTCCCCCTTGGACTCTGAAACGTCTCCTTCCTAGTGAGCCATATCTCGACTTCTTAGCTTGGCTCTTGATTTCTCATCAGCCCATCATGCAACTGCTTGTGTAATGCTAAACCATCAGAGTAATTTGCTAAGTGTAGGGTACCTCCCTTAACGTGGCAACACAGATAGCTCTCTATAAAGCTGTGGCTTCTGCCCAAATGGGACAGTGTTTATAAAATGATGACCCAGACTAGATTAACTCAGGAACATCTGCCTCAGCTGAATATGCTGCCCACTTGGAACTCTGTGTGGTAGTCAAAGGACGTGAAGTCTTGGCCATGCTCAAAACCTGCGTGTTCTCACTGGAGAGGCAAGACCCACATGGAGCAAGAGCACGTGATTGGAAGATGGCCGCCAGATGGGCACCTCGCACCCGGAGCTCCACGGAGATCGGTTAATGTTCAGATGACTAACACGTAAAATAAAAGTTTGTGTATTTAGCAGTGAAAAAAAAAAGCACATGATTAATATAGAGTTATCCAGAGCAGGTGGTCATCGCTCCAGAAGTTAAGGGTTAGAGGTCAGACCATCAGGGGGAAAACGAATGATAAAATTCAAAAGACATAAGGAAACATTAGTCCAGTGACTAATGGGCCAACAACATCATCTTCCATGACCCTGACACCAGAGCTAAATGGTGCCTGGCTACCACTGCCAACTGCTCTGGAAAAGATTACAGTGGGAGAAAGTGGTGGAACAAAACTCAGAAATATAAAACTGACCCCAGCCTTGTTGGTTAGAGACTGATGAAACTCCTCAGACTATGGCTTCTCGTCACCCTTTAGGTCTGGGATGGAGCTCGCCTCCCCTGTGAGGTAGTAAACCGTTCACGATGAAAAGGGCAATCTTTACCGAAGGACAAAGCAGAGAGGGTTCGGCAAGGAGGCGGTGGACGCAGGCGACCCAGGAAGGAGTGGAATAAATGATGATAGCACATTGAGGGGATTGAACTGGATGAGCTGAAACAATGAGTGCTGTTGATTGTAAAACTGATCATCTGCTCTGTAAATTTTCACTTAATTCACAGTCAGGTTTTTTGTTTTTGTGTTAGGGGTCAGAGACTAAAGCATGCCTAGAACGTTTTACCCTTCTATTTGCTTACCTAACTCACTTCTTCACTCACATCCCACCTGCTTTCTCAGTGAAGCTATTGTGTCCTACAACTCCCCCTCAGCACTCTAGATTCCACAATCCCTGCTCCACCTTTTTCCTACAGCACTTGCCAACTCTAACACTACAGTATAATTTACTGATCATTATGTCAATTGCTGATAGTTTGTTTACACTGCTACACTGTGAATTCCACAAGCCAAGGATGTTTGTTTTGTCCACTGACCTATATCACATCCCAGAAACAGTTCTTAGTCTATAGTACTTATTAAATTGTTGGCTGAATGACCTGAATGACTGGTTCAGTTAAGGATTTTAAATCAAAATAAATAGAAGAAAAGCCTAAAGTTTCTAAAGAAAAGCCTAAAGTGGCATCAGCCCACAATAAAGCACCTTCCTCGTTAGTGAGGACTATCCCTATGGCAGTCAGTCTTCACCTTGACACTGTCTGCCCCCCCTCCCCCACCATCCTCGGTGTTCATAGTCGACCACACGAGCTCTGTGCACTTGGGAGCTTAGACACTTTCCTAGAAATGAATGTGAGTCCCATGTTGGCAAATGAGAAATGTGTGCATTTGTTGCTGGTGGACATCCCCAGTATTCAGGATCCTCTCGTTTTGTTCTAGACTTGTTAGCTAGTTGATGGATTTTTGGAGTGGGAAAATAAATACAAACCAGAGCTACAGGTATGTCTCTGAACTCGCCTCCTCTCCCCTTCCAGGGTGACAAGGCTGATAGCTTTTACATCATCGAGTCCGGTGAAGTGAGCATCTTGATTAAAAGCAAGGTGAGTTTGTGTGTGGTATGAGTTACGCCCGTGAAGAGCCAGATGTTTGGTGTACACCCAGACAGTGACGATTTGTTTTAATAATGGGGAGTGGGTGTAGTGCACCAAAGCTATCACTGCTATGTGAGATAGTGACTGACAAAGATAGATAGGGATTTAGTGTGTTTTTCATTCTGATTGCCTTTGCTTTGGTTACTCAAATAATTAGTGATGTGAGAAATACTGTTCCAGAAATCAATGTAAAAAGATAAAGTGAGGGAATTATATGAGAGGATTTCAAAATTTTGTGGAAAAAAATGGAATCAAAAGATAAAGAAATTTTTCTGCCATGTTTTGAAGCCCTTTTGTATAATATTTTTTAATGTACAAATGGCCAGTAACGATGGAAACAGCTTACTTTTCCGAGCACTGACGGGGGCAGGCTCTAAGACAGGTCATATAATGGAAGATTGTATACTGCTGACCATACTGAGTGGAAAGAATGAGACTTCTTACCAGTAAATCCATCATCACCAGATTTCCCAGCTTCAGATTTTTCAGAAGGATGTAGAATTTGTTAAAATAGTTACATCAAGTATGGATTGCTGTAAGAGCTGTAAGAGCCCCAATAAAATTATCTTTAAAAAAAAGTTTTAGATGTATTTTTTTAAGTTATATCAAATACTAAATCAACGAGATGTGAAAACATTTTGTTGGTAAAGTTAATAAGAATAAAAAACAATATGTATCTATAAGGTAACTTGACTTCCCCACACACAGACACAAAGAACATTGAGGCTTTTACTATAAAAAGGCATGATTTTCACTGATGTTCAGATAAGAGATAGCTTAAAAAGTACCACCATGTCTCTTAAATGTCCATTACATGTATTCCATAAGATAATAAGACACTCTACTTTCGAAGATCCATTCATACATAAAGTTGAGACATTAATTTCATGTACTTCACAGTAATGGTTCAAGATAGCTTGATTTTTTTTATTAAAAATAGATACACAGTAAGCGTAAGATTAGATTCACCAGAGAAAGAAAACCAGTGACATATGTATATGTGTAAGAAAGAACTTTGTATCAAGACAGAAATTTATCTCAAGGAAATGGCCCAGCCTGTCCATCTCAAGTCCATGGGTCAGATGCTGGCAGGAGGCCTCTCCAGACTCATGAGCTGCCAACTGATGAAGCAGGAAGTGGGGCGATCACAGGCCAGTGGATACAGACACACACCCATCCAAGGTGGGCAGAAACATGGCAGGCCACCCACAGCTGTTAGGCTCAGCACATCACATGGACCACCAACCCCAGCAGCAAGGAGGAGAGGGCCAAGAGAGGGGGACCAGTTTTCTACAGGCTTTCTTGTAAATAAGCCACACCCCCAAGGAGATGTCATTAGGCTGTGACCTGATTTTTAGGTATGTTGGGCTCCACCCGTATCTTCTTACATGTACACCTTTAAAAAGTTCATGGAAAAATTCCATCTTTCCATAGACTTTTTGAAGCTTCCTCATAAGTTTGTACAGTTTTTAAATATTTGTTGACAACTACCGTGATTGTAATAGTGCTGTCTGTGTAAGACCAGCCTTATCTTGGCACTTGGGAGTGGGCAAGGAGGCTTGTCAGAAATGCAGTCTTGGGCTCTGCCACAAACCTACTGGATTCTGAAACTGCATGCTAACAAAACCCCAGAGGGCTGGTGCACGGAGGAGGACTGGGTGGGCTCCAGTGCTACAGAGCCAGTGCGAGGATGCTGGGTCAGTGGACCTGACCAACTTCGGGGAACAATCAGAGCAGAAGTGTGGAAGAAGGAATTTAAGTGATTTATTAATTAGCAGATGAATTTATTTTAAAATATATTAATAAGCAACTCCAGATACTATTTAACAAGGATGGATGCCAATAATACTTAGAAAGAAAATGCACTGCAGTGAAGCACTGCCAGGGCGACTCGTTGCCTAAGAGAAACTTTGACATTATTTACAGAGAAATAAGAAGAGACCTGATCTTTTTGCCTATTCTTCAAAAGTCAGTATCTCCCAAAAGAAAAGTGTTATATTTGTAAGGTCTCCCAAAGAAAATGGTCTGCCCCTCACTTTAGCCGTTGCCTGAAAGGTGTTGAAGCCAGGGCCCATGCCAATTCCTCTGATTAAACCAGGCCGCTGAGACTTGCGCATGCAGTCTAGAGGGGCGGTTGGAGAACTGTTCTGAATGTACTGAACGAAAGCAAGTGTAGCATGCCCAGCTGTGATTCTGGAGGCAGCCCAGGTCATGTTCTCTTCCTTCTCTAGACTAAAGCAAACAAGGATGGGGGGAACCAGGAGGTCGAAATCGCCCGCTGTCATAAGGGGCAATACTTTGGAGAGCTGGCGTTGGTCACCAACAAGCCCAGAGCTGCTTCAGCATATGCAGTGGGAGATGTCAAATGCTTAGGTAAGAACAATTCTCCGTGTGTTAATCGTTTTCCCTCAAGCATGCAATATTTTTCCTCCATCCGAAGTCTTGACTTCTGCCTGCTCTCCCTCATCCCCAAGCCTGGATCATTTATGTGACCCACCAAAGATGTACCCTTTATTTTATTTTCAGCAGTTTTATTGACATATAATTCACATACCATACAATTCAGTGATCTTAATATATTTTAAAGAGTTGTGCAAGAGATGTACTCTTAAAGCAAACATTCCTGTACTTTGTAGCAAAGCTCTGTAGCAAGGCTGGCACATAGGCCCCATGGCTGTGTGACAAGAGCATTAAAAATGGCAGGTGCTTCCCCTCACAGGGGGGGCGGTCACAGGGAAGAGATGAGCCAGTCAGGGTGCAGCATAGCACTGATGAAACAGACAGCTTTCCTCTAGTTCTTTGGTGCTTCCTTCCCCCCACTATCATGACCTCAGTTCTACCTTACAAATCAGATTAGACCAGAACATGCGCACTGCCACAGAAAAGCGCCCGCAACACAGGGAATCCAGGATAGAGAAACCCCTCAGGGCCAACAATGAGAGTAGACATACCAGGAGGACTAGGGGAGCGTGGGGGGAAAGGGGAATCGATCACAAGGATCAACATTTAACCCCCTCTCAGGGGGACGAACAATGGAAAAGTGGGTGAGGGGCAATGGAGGATGATGTAAGATATGAAAATAATAATCTGTAACTTATCAAGGGTTCATGAGGGAGGGAGGGTGGGAGTGGGAGGGGGAAGAAATGGGGAGCTGATATTGGGCTCAAGTGAGAAGAGAATGCTTTGAAAGCTATGATGGCAGCATATGTGCAAATGGATGAATGTATGGATTGTGATAAGAGATATAAGAGCCCCTAATAAAAGTATTTAATAAGGAAAAAAAATGGCAGATGCCCAAGACTGTGAGGGTGGGAGAGAACAGGTAAAGTCTCATAGGTCTATGAAAACATAAAATGACACAATTCTGCTGAGTTCATGGAGAACCATGCTTTCTTTCGCCAAGAACGGAATGTCCCAAAGTCTAAACTACTACAGCGTGAATAGGTATATTTAGAAAAGGTTTGCATGAGAGCCATGACTTGAGTTATTGTTGCGAAGAACTCACATTCTCCCGGCCCTCTTTCTCCCCGCAGTTATGGATGTGCAAGCGTTTGAGAGGCTGCTGGGACCCTGCATGGACATCATGAAGAGAAACATCTCCCACTATGAGGAACAGCTGGTGAAGATGTTCGGTTCCAGCATGGATCTGAACGACCCCATGCAGTAGATGTGCCACACCCCAGAGCCTTCTCAGCGTGACATCAAACCTCCGGTCAGCCACAGAACACATACAGAAACCGACATGACAGAATCGTCCCTGCTATTGCTGCCACTGCTGCCTTGCTGTGGCCCTGGGCATATAGAAGACTTGAGAGTCAGCACTAAAAGATGAGCAGAGGGCCACCCCACACCTCCACTTTGCTTGTGAAAGTCCATTATTATTAGACGATTTGTAATGATTGCTCCAACCCTATGTTCACATCTTTGGTTCAGAATGGCATGTCTCTCCAACAATTTAAGTGCCTGATACAAAGTCCAAAGTGTAAACACCCTCCCGCCCCTCTCTCACTGCTGCCGTTGCTTTTGGAAGTTAACATGAGGTTTGCAGATGCCTGTGGTGCAGCTGCACACCCCTCCCCCAACCTTGCTCAAGGGAGGAAGGTAGTAGCCTCGGATCCCCTCACTCGTCCTCTGAGAAAGTCCATGTTTGTTCACAGTTGTAGCCTTTGATTTTACAATAGAACATGGCACCAAATGTGATGGGGGCCTGTGGTCCTGTGGCCTTGTAACTGATCTCCACATGATCACTCCACACCCACATGATAACGTAGGGAGAGGCCCTGCCCAAGGCCCAGCAGGTCAGCACCCCAGAGCAAAGTGACCCAGCAGTGGGACCCACATCAGAGCAAAAAATAGGGGTGGTTTACAGAACATTCTACAGGTAGCAGAGAGCCAGGAAAGGTTTTCTGGGTTGGATATCTTGATTTTGTTTTTTTAGTAAATTTTGTTTTGTATTTTTTTTTTTTTTAAAGAAAAAAACCACCCTCTGCAGTTTGCATGAATTCATTGCTGTCCATTTCTAAGGAGCCAGGGTCAGGTGATGCCATCACTTTCTTGGGCAACTGCTGGCACCTCTTGCTTCCAGTTGCCCGTACCAGCTAAATGGCAGTAGGCTAGCAGCAAGTTGTGGACAAAAAGAGCCCTTTCCTTCGACTCCAGAGCCTTGTTTTGTACTGTTGTATTGTTTAGCTGTTGAACCATCAATTTTTAACTCTCTAGAGAGAAAGATACTATTTTTTTGAAATTAAAAAAAGAATTTCTCTAATTAGGGAATTCCCCTGGGACATATTCATATATGTGGAGTTTGTCAACCAACTCAGCATTCATCTTAAAGAGCAACTCTCTCTGTTAGTTTTCAAAAAGTGGCATCATTTACAATTTCATAGAATTACTCTGAGGATTTTTATAATTGAAATGTTGGGATATTTGGGGTTCCAGTTGTTAGTTCCAGAGAAAGGTAGTTTAGCTTGTATTTAAAAATTTTTAAACTTTTTATTTATACCAGGTAGACTTCTGGTGCATTGTCTTCATTAAGTAGCTATATTTCAGAATGAACGATTTTGGCTCTTTTCTTCAGATGCTACAAGAGCAGGGTGACATTTGCATAAAGATACATTTGGATGTTATGGCCAACTTTATAAAAAATCAAGAGGCCTTTTCCAATGTGATTTTAAAAAAAACAAAATGAAAAACCTTGTATAATTCAATAAATCCCTAAGAGACTACCTACTGGGGCTTGAGTCATTCTGTTGTAGATCATGTCAGAACCCACATGGTCACCTTCCAGAATCCACATCAGCTCGGTGCTCTGCCTCTACCACGAGCACATGGCTGAAAGAGATATAGGGTGGCAAACCCACCCAGCCTTGGTACTTACCCCTTGGGTGTGTGCTCTGGGACATGAGAGCAGAAGGGCCCTTTCTCGACTGCCCTAAGTAGCCCGCCCTGCAATGTGAATTGTAAAGGGCTGTGACAAATAATGGCTCCCACAGAGGCAGCTAGCACGGGACAGACTGTGTGGTAGTCACACGTTTCCCCAAGCTTCTTTTCTATAGTGTCATTTTATTATTCAGTAGATCCAGAAAGAAAGTCTTGGGCTTTTAACAGCTAAGAGCCCCACTTACCTCTCTCAAAGGTACATTGGGTTTGCAGAATGACACTGAGGTCCAGCCCCAGACAGGGTGAGTGCCAAGCAGTTGCTCCTTGCATACCGGCAATAGTTTGGGCAGCTGTGAACTCTGGGCCAGGGGTGTCACTCCAGCAGGCTGCTAGGGGTGAGCCTTTTTGTTCCACCCTCTCACGTCCCAGTTTCTCCCTCACAGAGCCTTCCTGAAGACCTAGCCTCACTGATGGCTGCTGCTGTTCAGAGTTGTCGGCTTTGTGTCTTCCTGCTCTAATTATAGATTGACCTATGGATCAGCAGTCCAAACCCTTACTGCATACCGGACCCCCAGGGAGTCTCGCTTGAGAAAGGGAGACTTTAGAGGGACCTTCGTGAGTGAAACAGGATTTCCAGGAGCCTGACCAAGTTCATCTCAGCTGTTGAACCTCACAGAGAGAAGTGTGTGCTAGGGAACAGATTAATTGTTTTGTATATTCTGTCAGCCAGAACATAATTGTTTCTATGTTCTCTGTGGGTTAAAACTTCCTGCCCTCTTTGCTGGCGTTGCTGTTGATTTTGGGATGGTGGAGAATGTTCCCGAGAACCTTGAGGTGCAGCCGCCCAGTTTGTCCTTCCCACTGGCCCTGAGCTGTCCCGCCCCCTCTCTCCTCTTCGTTGTATTCTCTGAAGGACGGTTCTTTGTGCTTTTATCCTCGTAACCAGTAGTCCTGTGATAGATCACTGTGTTACATAGTGCTGTTAGGGATTCTCCAAGTTTGTATTTGAGCAAACTCAGCACCAAAGTGGGCAAGCCTGGAGAGGCCCTGCCCATGCTCAAACTGGCCTGCTTATCTGCTCACAGCAGTGGATGTTGGTGAAAGGTGGGCCCACAGCATTTCCCCATCGTGGTACACGGTACAAACAACCCTCTGTCATGGAAAGAAACAGTGGAAGAGCAGACTTGCACAGAGAACAAGGAAAAAGATCTCTTGAATGGCATCTTTTGATCTTCTGTTTTCAATTGGCTGATGCTGAGAAGTCGTTTTCAACATGCACTTGTAACCCAGTCTTGCCAAGATACAAGTTGTTTTTGTTCTTGATTACAATTACCTCTTGTTCTTCCTGTCTTGACTGCTGAGGTTCCTCAGTGATTCTAATGTCTATTTTATGGGAAGCAACCTCTCCACGCGTTTCCCTTTACACGCTACAGGGCTATCTTTATACTTAAACACACACACACACACACACACACACACACAAAGAAAATTTAAATTAAAAAATAAAAGCAAGAAAATGGTCACTAACTTTATGGGGGACTTGCAAAAAATCATTTAGCACACCTTGAACAAAAAAAAGGTGGATTTCTCATTGTTTTCTGAAGCTCATTGTCATAATCTGATTCAACATCATTGTGCTACCTCAAAGACAAAAAGTGTTTTAAGGTCTGTTTTGGTCCTGAGCGCTACGCATAGTGTTTGAAATGTCTTTCAATTGGAGTTATTTTTTAAATCATCGGGGAGAATCTTATTTTAACCTGTTTTACATTTGTATTTTAATCTCAGAAGAAAACGTGATTGGAAAGTGATCAATTCTTGCTCTGTAGTATTGGACATATAATTAAAGTCATTAAGATTTGAATCATTGTTTGCCACAAAGCTAGGTTTTTTTTAAAAAAAAAAAAAAAGAAGAAGGAAGACTCTCGGGCTTGGCTTCACTCTTGGTTAATAAAGGCTGACAAATCACATCTGACTTTCCAGTCCAGCTTGTGTCGTGTGTCTGCCCTCTCATTTCAGGACTCCAGGCCATGACAGCGCTCATCTGGCCTCTGTGCTGTGGAGATGGGGGGGTGAGCCCTTGAGAATTAAGGAGCCAGGCTGGGCATGGTAATGAGTTATCGAGGGTGGTGTACAAGAGCCTTCCATACCTGCCTTGTCATGGGATGAATGAAGCCCACCAGAAAACATCTCCAGGCTGACCGTGTGACTTTCATCACTCACTGTGTAGCAAAGACCAAAACCAGCAAGGGCTCAGTGACAGCTCACTGTACCTGCCGTTCTTCCCAGGTGACCAAAAGAAATGCATTCTGTGACAAGACCGTATTCCGGTAGAATGTTGCCCTCACTTAGACACAAACACCTCCTAGTACCGAAAGGCCATGATGGCCTGAGCATCAGGAACTGGTACCTGAACGAGTCTAAGCTAAATCCTTGGCCTCTTTTTTTCATGTGTCTGTTGGGCATTGGAATGTCCTCTCTGGTAAGCTGTCTGTTCATAGTCCGTATCCTGGGTTTGATTTGGTGTCCTGGAACTTCTTGAGGTCACAGGGCTACCGCCACAGAAACTACAGAGGCTGAAAAGTTTAACTCTTAAAGCCTCCAAAGAGCCTTGTTGCTCTGTTGTTGTTAGGGGGCATTGAATTCAGCACTTCTGAGCTTCCGTCGTTTCTATGATGGTAGTCCTGTGACCTCAAGAAGTCCAGGACACCAATCAAAACGTGGACTAGAGGACTTGAACAGATGTCTCACCAAAGGATACTCACAGGACCGCAGACACGTGAAAAATGCTGAATTTCAGCCATCGGCCATGCAGATCAAAATGACACAGATACCATACATTCCTTCTAGAGAAAATGGAATATAACCGGGGGGTGGGGAAGTGGCGTGTGACATAGAGAAGTTGGAACCCTCCTCCCCGCTGGTGGACATGCAAAATATCCAGCTTTTATTCAAAATCAATCTGGGAGCTGCTGTATGACCTAGCAATCTCATATCTAGGCCCTATGCCCCAGGGAGCTAATAACATGACACTGCCTTCTGTGTGTACTATGTTCGTTGCAGCACTATTAAAAAAGATGCTGTGTACCCATGCTGCTTAGAATCAAATACTAAACAATAAGAGAAAATGGGTGTTAATCACAAAAACACACATGGTGTGTCTTGTCACTATTATGAAATGACATGAGCGCTGAGTAAACAAACTAATGCTGATCAGTGGTGACCAGGAGTGAGGGGATGGTCTGAAGAAGGATGTGAACTCTTTAAGTAAGTCACTTTTTATTTATAGAAATAGGAAAGGTGTCATTGAATATGGGGAAGCTTTCCCAGCATGACTGATGTAACTGATGTCAATAAGCTGTACATAGGAAAAAGAAATGGAAGGACAAAGGTAGAGTATGTATGGTTTTGCTATAATAACTAAAACAGGGTGAGGGAGTTACTAATTAAACTGAACCAATCACCTCCTGGAATTAATAAGAGCCCTGGTTTCATGGGGCAATCCAGTCGTTTGGGAAAGTTCTTCACATTTATGTTCTCCCTCCCAGTATAATGAGTAGTATGTGGGATCCGACAAGCGTACAAGTGGCTGTCTAGGAGATAGCTATCGGTCTTTACTCCATTAGAACAAATGAGGAAGAAGGAACCCTAGGAGTCAGATCTGGATTTTAAGAGCCACTACCTCTTCCACCTTGAGACCCGAAGAACTAGATGGTGCTCAGCTACCACAACTGAATCTCCTTATTAGGAATATAATTGATTGATGCTGATAAAAAGGGGGGGGTGGGGGAATACAGACTTTTTTTGTAAAGGACATACGCAGTTGTAAGAAATACGTAGTTTTACAACCACACACACAAAAGTGGTTACGTATCTACATATGTATATGGGTAGATGTGTATGTGTATATGTATAGACATCTCAGTATATACAGGAATATGTGCATGCATGTGTACACACACACACACATATCTACCAAATAAAGCATATGGGAACAGTTAAAGATACTTCGTAGACATAACCAAATGTTTCATGAATTTGGTGTTCTGCATTTGAAGGCTTAGTCTCGTGAGACAACTCAGTCAGTTGGCTTTCTGTAGTTCAAAAGTTCGGTGAGTTAGTTTATGGACTCTTAAAAGCTTGTGAGTAGCCATCTCAGATACACCTATTTGTCAGTACTTGTCTAGAGCAAAAGAGAAAGAAGAAAGCCAAAGACTGGTAGAAGAACATATATGGGACTAATAATCCACCTCATCTACCAACCAGAAGAACTAGCTAGTGCCTTCTACCACAACTCTTGATCAGGGCCACACTGGGTGGATCTTGATAACGTGGAACACAAATTTCAAGTACAGATTGATTGGACTGGTTGAGACCAGAGGACTCCCAGAGGCTATAGGCCTGATACTCGATGCTTTAAAGGAAACTATCCCCTGAGGTTATTTTCTAACAGTAGATACTTTTTTTTTTTAAGTGTAATCTGTACCTGTGTTAGTCTGGGTACTTTAGAGAAACCCACAGAAACTCATGTATGAGAGTTTTATATAAAAGTTAAGTGCACATCAAGAAAACATCACAACCCAATGCTGTCCAAGCCTACAAGTCCAACATTAACCCTTATTCCCAACACCAATCCACAAAGTCCTCCTCCATCTCACAAAACACACAGTGACACCGACTACAGGAGGAAAGCCAAATCAGTGAGCATGTAAGCATCAAAGCACTGGAGGCTCTCCACACGGCTGCTCCAGCACCCAGGGCTGCATCGGGGTAGGTCCATGCGGCTTCTCCTGGGGGTTGTCTTGCAGGAAATGAACCTTGTCAGCTGAAGCAGGGAACTGGCTAAGGCAGCTGCAACCTGGTCTGACCATCACAAAGCAAGAGACCCGAGAACTAGAAAGGCGAATCTCACTAAGCCATTTATCTCTTCACCCTTCAATTAACCCCACATGTGTTTATCGGCCAGGTTGGCATAATTAACTCAGCACTCTTGTTTAAAAAAAAAAAAATCATCTGTAGGTGATGAAATGGTCAACAATTACCCTAAAACCAAAACGAGACAGTAAAGGGACAGGGAAACCAGATGATGGAATCCAGAGAACCACAGAACAATGTTAACGTGAAATGTTCAACCAGCATCATGGACTGACTCATGTAGTTTAATGAGAACCTGCTTTACTATTTAAACTCTCACTAACTGCAAAATTGAATACTATTATTAAATAAACTAGTAGTTTAGCCCGAGTACCCTTGAGCATTACATTACATTAAAAAAAAAAAAGTCAATATATGTTTCTCTTGTATGAGACCAAAGAGCTGATAGCTAAATGCAGAGGATAGAGGAGTGTTGGACGGAGGTAGTGGAACGATATATCCAACTTTGTGTTGGGTTCCCTCTTTCTCTGCCTTCTCCCTCCGTGACCATCCCCTTACCTTCATGATATCGCTACTCCCACTACTGTTCCTGAGGAGTTTATCTTTCCTGAATTACTGTGTCGAGAGCTCTTATCTGTACCAATGTATGTTCTCCAGTGTAGCCAGATTTGTAGGGTAGAACTGGGTCATGGTGTTGGGGGTGGGGGGCTATTCAGGAACTAGAGGAATGCTGTGTGATTCATTGGCACTCTACTCCACCTGGGTTGAATCCCTTCCTTAAAAACTTTCTGTGGGGGGATATCCAGTTGTCTACAGATGGGTTTTGGGTCTCCACTCAGACCCCCCTCAGAGACTGTAAATCTTGATAGGAACAGATAACTTCATCTTTCTCTCCAGGAGCTGATGGTGCATCTGAGCTGCCAACGTTGTGGTTAGCTTACACACCAGGGTCCCAAGATCTACCAATAGTAATGGTGCTGAGATCTGCCAGGGAATTCCTGGACCTTTCTTACACTACTGATGGAGCTATATTTCTGGACTCTTAGCAGCCCCAGATTCCCATTTCAAGGATCATTGTGCTCTCAGTGCTGTTACTGCCCTTGGGCACACCACTCTTCTCCTCCCCCCACCCCTTCTCTCTCTCCCTCTTTCTCTCTCGCTCTCTCTTGCTTTCCTGTCTTGTCACTGCCTTTTTGTGAAATGCCACTATTTACATCACACCATCTGACATCACACCACCATGGTTACAAAACACCCTGGAGGAGCTGTGGATGGAGAAAGGCAAGGTTTATGATTTGAAGGCACATCCCAATCCCAGCCTTCTGTCCCTCAGATAGACTCCTCAGAAATTTTCTTCATGCTAATCATCCCAAATATCATGATGGAGGTATTTGTTGTTTTGTTTTGTTTTTAATTTACATTGTCTCATATGATAACAGGTGCTAAGAATATTTTTTCACTGCAACACAAATTTTAATTTTCTTTTTCTGAAGGTGCTTCTTTTGTGAAACATTTCTATTCCTTCTTCATTTAATTCTTCCCTACCAGCATCCTTGATCCCCTGGTCACTTTTTATTCTATAAAAGCAGTGATCTGGCTCGTCTGTGAGTACAGTGTGCAGCCCTGTAAACCACAGGCCAGGAGGTTGGCCACACGAACGTGACTGGGAACCAGGCAGACATTAGCATGGCCTGTGGTCCATCCTGGCAAATAAAAAGAATGGATATTTTCTACTGCGCTCTTGGGGAAGGCAGTGGAAACAAATGCAGCGGCCAAACCCCTGTGTCTTTGGCCCTGGGTCCCACCCTTCCTTCCTCTGCCGAAGAGAACTGAGGCAAAAGGCAAAGCAACTGCTCCTTGGAGCCAGCCAGCCAGACGCTGCTGTGTACTCTCGACTGGAGGCCAAGTCCTCCAGCCCTCCAAAGCAGAGCGCAAATGTGTGTGTTGTCTTTCTAGAGCTGAAGTCTAGAGCCGACAGATGTTAAACAA